CACTGCTCGGCAGCCAGAAGGGACAAACTAGGAATCTCCGTTATGCTGAATGAAAGATGCCAAGTGAAAAAAAAAAAGTGTGTAAGGTACGTCTCCTTTTATAGCTAATTCTAGAAAATGTGAACTAATCTATAGCGACAGCAGATTAGTGGTTGTGTCGGGAATGAGGGAGGGAGGGGTGACAAAGGGGCACAGGGAAACCTTTCGTGTGTTTACTACCTTGATTGAGGTGGTGGCCCCCTGCAAGGCGTGTGTCAAAACTCCTCAAATTGCACACTCGAAATACATGCAGCTAATTATGTGTCAAGGATAAATAAAGCCGTCAAAAGGAAAATGTGAGGGGTCAAATAATACGGGGGCCAAGTTCACCTCGTGGACCACTAGTGTTTGTTCTCTGATTGAAAGGACTCCATCAACATTCACTCGGAATTCACCGTGCTCCGTGCGTTTTGTGAGGCGCTATGATTGCAAAGGTGATGGGTGCTGAGAAATTTTCATGACAGCGGTGGTGCAGACTGGCCTGGCCACGGTGAAGATGGTGACCCACGGGCACTGGCAGGCACAACCCAGAGAGAGTCTGTTGCCTGTACTCCCCAGCTAAACTTTCGAGGTTTTCTGACGATCTAAAGTAATTGAACTTTTTTCCTCTGTAAATCTAATTGGCTTACTCGAGGATGGAATGTCCTCCGAACTAGCTGCCAGTTAATCAGTTGGCAATATCGAAAGCAAACAGAGCAGCTGAGAGACAACAGCATAATCCAGGCAGAAGTGGTGGAGGCCAGGTGTGTGTGTAGCGGGGGGTGTGAAGGAGGGGAGCAGAGGAGGGAGTGAGAAGTGATAGCATTCTGAGAGTAGAAACGACTGGATTTGCTGATGGAGTGGATATGGGGCGGGTGGGCGGTGAGAAAGAGAGGTGTCCAAGTGGACCCCAAGATTCACGACTGAGCACCTGAAAGTCAGAGCCCCTGGAATCCACTGGAAGCCCCAGGAAGCATCTGGAAGTCAGAGCCACTAAGATATGAGGGCTCCAGGTGGAGCAGGCGGGAGGGTGAAAGCTAGCTCTTGTTCGCAGCCTCTGACTGTAAGAAAACCCGTAGCATTTTGCTTGGAAGCAAAATGCAATTAGAGAAAATCTGATTAGAACTGGATGACCCAGGCTTGCCTTTTGGAAGGATTTGGTTCTCCCAATATTCTGAGTCTGGATGAGAGGAAGAAAGAGAAAGGAGGAGGGAGACGGAGGGGAGAGCAGAGAAGGAGACAGCTGTTTACCCAGATGTCTGTCAAAGTCAAAGCACTCTACAACCTACACGCCAGCTACTTCTTGCCGGCCAGTTCAAAATTCAGGTTCCCAGGCACAACCCCAGACCTGCTCAATCAGAATCTGCATTTTGATACCTTCCCTAGGATACTGGTGATTATTGCACACACAGTAATATTTAAAACACACAGGCCTACATCACTGTTTTCCAAGACTCAGGCCTTCACCTACCATCTTTACCGTTTTTGCCATATCCCCTCACACCACTTGTAACATAATTAACAATATTTTCTTTAAATCAGTTCATTAACAACAACAACAAAAAACCTGAATGCATTTGTTTTAAAATAAAACTTTATATCACTATTATCAGTGGGAAATCAGCATCATTTGCCACAAGTGGAAATAACCATAAAAATGCACAAAACAAGATGAATATAAAACCATGTTATTTCAACTCTGGCCTGATAGTGCTGTCTGCCCAAAGCTCTCAGCCTCAGGTCCATGCTCTCTCTTTCAAAGGGAGACTGGCCAGCATAAAAAGGTGAGGAAGGCATTCTAGCATCAGATCAAGGCTTCCTTTTGAGATCATCTCAAGTGTTGAAAAAAGATTGAAGAAGAAAAAACTTTCCCACTGTGCAAGTCAACGATATTCGATATCGGTATGTCCACGTAACATACCTATGATCATTTTCCCGGCAAGGTTCAAGTTTTCACTACTTTAGATAAAGCACGGTTCTACTGCAGTGTCTCTGACCCCACCCCTCCTTCCCATAAGTCCTTGCATCTTTTCCCCAAGCTAAGTCCTCCCCCTAACAGGCACATTCCTCTGGGTAAGTGGATGTAGGTGGGGACTTATGCTTATCCAGACACTCCCTTCCCACCAGGGCCCCGGTTCTCAGTTCTCAAAGGCAGCAGCCCTCTCTGTGGTCAACTGCTTCAGGCCAAAGGAGACACCAGCCTCTCTTCTAGCAGTGGTCAGTATGACTAAGAGATACCCCAAAGCCCCAAAGTGCAAGGACAAAGAGCAAGGACAAGGACCCAGGCCAAGTTACAAGGTTCGGGGTGTGGCTTTGAGGATGGAACCCCAGGATCATGGTAAACAGCTAAGGCTGTCTATGCAGCCCCAAACCACTGGGAGATTCAAAGTCTTCAGGGATGCCATGTAGACATGGCCCTTCAAAGTGGATTCCTATGACCACCTGGGCAATAATTTAATGGCTTTGTAGCACCAGTGAGGATGGGAACCTAGAATTTTCCAGAAATGCCTCTTGCCATGGGGAATCAGGCTAAGCTCAATAATTAACAGTTAAATTTTAAAGGGAGCGTTTCAAATCCTCTACACGAAATAAACTGTTGAAAGGTGACATGGTTGCTAATATATTTATCTTCATTACATCAACTAGTTCTTTTATTATCTTAGAAAAACAGCATGTAAAATCATCACAAACCAGAAGCCAAGTCCGTGCTCAGGCGGTGTCCTGTTGGGGTTTGGTTTATTTCAAATGGGAGCTGGTTTATCTGCAAAGCAGCTGGTGGTTGTATAACGACTATTAATAAAAATCCACATAGTTGCAAAACCTCTCTGATCAGCAGTGATGAGGCTGTTAGTAATAATTCAAAACTTCTCCAGAGAAATTTGGAAAGGGAAAAGGTTTTGCTCCCGCCACCCCCCCGCCCGAAAGATCTTTTCTCTTTCCGTTGATAATATTAATACTTGCTACCTTTTTATTGAGTGTTTACTATGTGCCACGTCCTGTCCCAAGAGCTCCTGAGATCAACCCGTTAACTCTCACAATAACATCATCAAGTAGAAATTCTTACTCCGTTTCACAGGCAAGCCACCAAGACCCACGGGAGCCTTTCCAAGTCATCTCTAGGCCTCAGACTTTGCTCCATGAAACATGGCGATGAACTGTATTTGATGCACCAAATAAAATGCCTCATTAAAAGAAAACGTTTACACAACAACCAAAAGATGAACGTAACCCAAGTGTCCACCGACGACGAAGGAATACACAAAAAGTGGCCTACACGCCCAATGGACTGTTATTCAGCCTTACATAAAAGAAACTCTGATACAGGGTACAACATGGATGAAACCCGAAGACATTCCATTAAGTGAAAAAAGCCGGTGGCGAAAGGACAAATATTGCATGATTCCACTTAAATGAAGTACCTAGAGTAGTCAAATTCACAGAGACAGAGAGTATAGAGTGTTGGCTGCCAGGGGCTGGGGAAAGAGGCATAGGGATGACTGTTTAATGGGTATGGAGTTTAAACACAGAGTTCTTTCAGTTTGGGAAGATGAATAAAAGTTCTGGAGATGAATGGTGGTGCTGGTTGCACTGAAGATGCATAACGCGACCGAACTGTACTGTTGATAATGGTTCCTATGGACTGAACGTTTGTGTCTCCCAGAATTCGCATGTTGAAACCTAATCCCCATTGTGATAGTATTAGGAGGTGGGGTCTTTGAGAGGTGATTAAGTCGTCAGTATGCTTATGAATGAGATCAGTGACCTCAGAGACCTCAGAGAGCGGCCTTCCTGTGAGGACTCAGTGAGTGAGAAGGTGACATCTATGAACCAAGAAGCGGGCTTTCACCGGACACCAAATCTGCTGGCACCTTGATCCTGACCCCCCAGTCTTCAGAAATGTGAAAAACAAATTTCTGTTGTTTATAAGCCACCCAATCTATGGCATTTTCGTTATAGTAGCCCAAAGGACTAAGACGATGGTATACCACAATAGAAAAATGATTTTTCCCTATAAAACACAGAAAGAAAGATGCTTGAAATTATAAACATTCACTGATTCATGCATCATTCTTTAAAAATCATCAGTTCAACTATGGCCATTCCAATCTCGTCTGATCTCGAAAGCTAAGCAGGGTCTACTTGGATGGCAGACCACCTAGGAATACCAGATGCTGTAGGTGTTTAAAAAAAAAAAAAAGGTAGGTAAAACACAACAATTCAAAAGTCATCATTGTAGATTTCTTTCATTCATTGCACAAAGACTTAAAGAGTGTCTTCTGTGTGCCAGGCGATTCACTAAGCAGTGGGGTACGAGGTTGAGTAGGAGTGATGCTCTAACACCCAGCAGCCTCTCTAAATTTATACTGAGCAGAGAGGATAAACTCCACATGGAGAGGACTCCCCCAGAGGTGTGAAACAGCATGACCCATTGGAATAAGGGAGCAGTGAAAAGGGCACCTTGGAATAAGGGAGTAGCAGGAGATAGTGATAGAATTAAGCAGTTGTTTTCACTTCTCAAATTAAAAAGTATCCTATCCCTCAACAGCGGGTCTTGATGCTGCTGAAGGCTTTGAAGGTCAAAAGGTCACATTTTCAAAGACGCTGATGTGGGCAGAGAAGATCTGCTCAGAGCCAGTATCTGGGGCTCCTATACCCACACCCACCCTCTCTGGTCACACACAGCCACGTGACCGTCAGATGGGCGTGAAGGGCCCTGGGGGCCATCGACAGCTTTTTGGAAGCAGTGGTGACAACCAGGCCAAGCTCCAAGCTCCGCTATCCAGTAAACAAGAAAGATTTACCCCTACGTGTTGCTCTCATCCTCCCATGATACTTGGGCTGGACAAGGTATAGACTATAAGATGGGGGGGGGGGCGGCATTTTAGCAGCAGGGCTGGGCCGGCGGCTTGGTCAGATGCTGCTGAGACCATAGGGAGAAAGTGAGGGTGACAGTGGTCCTCAGGTACACATTGCTCACTGACCTTAGCCAGCTGTGTCTGCAGCTTGTTCTTGACGTCCATCACCTCAGAGATGCGAGCTTTGAAGGCCAGATTGGTGTTAGTAAACTGCTTCCACATCTGATTGGACAAGGACTCGAAGAGGTTCTCGGCCTCCTCCCGCAGCCGGATGGAGTTGGCCCGCATGTTCTGCGAGTGCCTGATGTTGTCGTTACTGAACTTGGCCCAGGTTTCGGGCACGGAGATCCTGCCAGAGGCACAAAGGCAAACTTAATCAGGGCTTTGTGGCTGGCCTAGAGATGTCCAAATCCAGGGTTTCTCAGCCTTGGTACTCTTGACATTTGGGTGGGGACATTCTTGGCTGTGGGGACTAACCTGTGCACTGGAGGATGTTTAGCAGCTTCCCGGGCCTCTACTCACCAGATGTAAATAGCAATCGACTCTTCAACTGTGACAACCAAAAATGTCTCTAGACATTGGCAAATATCCCTTGGGGGAGGCACAATGGCCCTCAGCTAAGAACCACTGGGTTGATCCAACAGCCTCATTTTACAGGTGAGGCCCCTGCAGCCTAGAGGAGAGCAGCTGACTCCCTGATGGGCCCTCGGTGAGCTGTCGGAGACGAGAGAGTCCCAGAAAAGCTCTTTTCCATAACACTTCCTCCACCACCATCAACAAAAACACAGACAGAGCGCATGATGCTGGCTGTGCAGTCCCTTCGACTCTGGGATGAGCATGTGGCCACGCTACTTGCACTGACCTATTTGCTCAACGAGCGTTCTTGAAACACATACCACATGCCGAGCCACGTTCTGGGCACTTGGGACTGAGCCATAAACAAGAGCGTCAACATCCCTGTCCTCATGGTGACAAACTTCCAGTGGAGGGAGACGGACAATAAAAAAAAAAAAAGATGTTTACACATGGTGTTATATGCTATGAAGGAATTTAGAAGCAGGATGCTGAGAAAGAGACAAATGGAGCAGGCCATTATGTGTCAGTCAGGCTTGCAGGAGGAAAGAAATGGAATTTATATTCAACAGTGTTGAGGTGCTCATGGATTAGCAATTGCGCAAAACTGTCACCACCCCAGCTGAAAAGGACAAGAGAGGGACAGGTAGGAAAGAGGAGCCCTGGGAGATCACAGGGAGGGAGAGAGGAAGGGAGGGAAAGGAAGGAAGATAAACCCCCAACATCTTTCTCTTCCTGCCCGCCCTCTGTCTCCCGCTGGCGTCCCTCCTCTTGGCTGAACCCAACTGGAAACCAGATGGCAAACGGCCAGAAAGGCAGTCTGCAAAC